GTCTGGAAAGGTTGAAAGACGCTGATTTATTGAACCAACTCCTGTTGGTGAGAAAGCCAAGCTTTCGAGCTTACACAGCGCTCTTCTTCAGGACCTCGGCTCTCTCACCGACAGAAGTTGGTCCAAAAAAAGATATCACCTCCCCCACCTTATTGCTCTGATATATATATATATATATATATATATATATATTGTGTTTCTCGATATGTTGATATGTATTGTGATATATCTAGATATGGTATAACTATTTGTGTTTAGTAGCTACAGTGTAGAGCACACATACACAGATATAGGCAACACGCACTCATTGTGTGTGTGTATGTGTATATATATACATACACACACGAGTGTGTGTTACCTATATCTGTGTATGTGTGCTCTACACTGTAGCTACTAAACACAAATAGTGTGACATATAGTGTGCGTGTGTGTAGGGAATTTTTGCAGGTGCAGCTGGATTTCCCCCCATAACAGTATTTGCCCCCCCTCGCTGTTTCGGGCATTAGATCGGTGTGTCCCAATGGACGGCCTGTGGACCGGCGCCGGTCCCTGAGGTCTCCCTGACACAGGTTAGGAAGGCAGCAAGCTGGTCCCCGGTATCAAAAAGTTTGAGAAACAGTGTGTTAGAGCCATCTCGGCATACAAGGGCTTTGGAGCAGGGAGAAGATTCTGGAGACAGCTAGAGTTATCCCTAAAACCACTTTCCCCATGGGCGATCGTTCAGGCACTGGTCACCGGGGTCTGATGCAGTTCCTGCTCCAGCTGGGCTGGGGGACAGGAGGAGGCGGACCGGTGGCTCCCCAAAGATGATCTGCACAGGCCTGGCCCATTTCTAACCTGTCAGCCAGTCTCAATCCCTCCCACCCTATTGTAGTAAAATGGCCACCCAGGGGTTAACTGGGTTACTCAGAAGAGTATTATGGGGTGGGGCTATGCTCCACCCCCTCTCTTAGTTACTTCCTGTTTAGGTAGCCAGTGCCCCGCCCCATAGCTGGAGACAGCATCACCGTCCCCCCCTGCAGTGCTGTAAGTGGACTGTGGGTTTTTGTAACACTGGCCATGAGGCTGGGCTCTGCGTGGGCATGGCAACTGATGGCGGAAATGAGGGCTTCATGCAGAAAGCGAGGACTCGCCGCCATGTGTTGGAAGCTTGGGCTGCTTGTTTCTTGCAAGTTAGAGGACAGTCAAGGACCCACGGATGGGGCGGGCAGATAGCAAACGTGAAAAGTCGGGAGACATTTTTTCCTGGAGTGGTGGCGGTGGTAACAGTGGCGGATATCAGAAAAAGCCCCTAATAGCTGCACGTCTGGTCACCCTACCTACCGAAGACAGTAACACCTGTTCCCCTGGAAGGAGTTTGTTGCAGCCTCAGACACTGGGAGAGAAGAGTTTAGAAGATTTGCCACAGTCGTTGACAGAACCCTGCCCCCTTCGATGGCCACTTCGCTGCGCCCATCACAGTCCCCCCATAACCAGCCTCCCTAGCCCCATTCCTAGCCTAGCCATGCTTGCCTCAGCCCCACTCCACTTCCAAGCCTGCCTGCCCTGCTCTCTTCCTTCCACATTCCCATGCCTCACCTCCAGCTGCAGCTCCAAGCCCGACCTCATCACACTCCCCTCCCCGAATGTCTGCACCCTGAGCCCCTGTCCCCTTCCTCTGCCCTCCCTTGCTGGCTTTACAATCTCCTCCCTTCCTGGCCCAACCAGAATTAGCAAGCAACGCGTTCAAAGGCCAGGGCTCAGGGCTGAGCTCCATAACTGATGGGAGCAAAGAGGGATGAAACCAGAGCCTAATCTCCGGGCTCATCATAATGAATAAGAGTAAATTTGCAGGAGATTCAGAGATGCTCTCCCCTCACCCGAGTCCGGCTCTGTGCCATGTCAGTGTCCCAGTTACATCGACAAAGGAGCCAACATGGCATCCAGGGAGCTGCAGAAGGCCCCGGCCACCCCTTCTGTGCCAGCAGGAAGGAGGGAGGGTGGTATAGAAGCTGCTTTGACATCCCAATACTGTCCAAGGGTTTATTCCCCTGCACCATGGGTATCTCCCAACAGCCGGCAGCACAAATCCTGGGCCCAGACTCCACCAGCCGTGTGACACCAGCCGCGGAGAAATTGGGCCTGGTTTGTGCGTGCCTCTGCTAGATGGCAAACATGCTGGGGAAGGGGCCGTGTCTCCACGGGAGAGCTGGGAGAGGCCTTCATATTCGGGTATTCCAATATTCGGGGACCTGAGCCTCTTTCACAACTGTCCCCTAGCAGCTTGGGACTCTTTTTAGGTTACAATATGTTTTTTGTTCACCAGGTAATTTCTGTGACTAATTCTTGGGCTGCAGGTCACGTGAGAGCAGCTTATCAGTAAGCGCTCAATAATTCAGAGCTTAAAATTGGAGCTTGAGTTGATCGGTCACATAGATCTCTAGATCTCTCACCCCCATCCACAGATCTCTATCTGTCTAATATCTCTCTCTATCTCTTTAACTTACAGTTCTCTTCTCCCCACCTCCATGCACTAGGTGCTTCAGAGAGCAAATTCTTAGCTTGATCTTTAGAGGCAAGTCCCCTCTTTCTCTCTCTGGTATTTGGGGGCCTCCAAGGTATCTGGATTCCGAGTCACATTGTTCCTGCTTCCTGGTTGGATGAGTGTAGTTTTAGAGCCAGGTTTCTAGCATGAATGTTGATGATCTCCAGTTTAAATTTTCCCGTCTATCAATCTTTGTTGGTGTTTGCTTAGCATTGGCCATTCCCAGGAATGGTCTTACCAGGAAATACACTGAGTTGAATATGTGAGGAAAGCAGACACGGAAGGGGAGTGAACACGGGCCCAGTGCCCTTTATGATTTGAGGGAATATTTTCAGGAAAATTGTCTGGGTATTTTCCACTCTCCACTCCTTATAAGTCTTTCCAGCGCCATGCACTTTTTTTGGCACCCTGTGAATAATGAACATATAATCCAATGAGACTTGAGCTTTGTGCTTTCTCCATCAGTCCATGGAAAAGGGAGATTGACTAGGACATTTACCCCTAGCTGCTGAGGGCTTTACTGTTGTATCACAATTTTGGAGCTGATCACAGATATCTCTTAGGGGAAAATTTCCCCCTATACAGAGGACCAGTGCAAGGGCTATGCATCACATATGTCCCACATATGCCCTTACATGCCTTGTAAGTGTTACGTGTTACACACCAGCCTTTTGCACAGGGGGGAATTTTACCTTTTGTGAGGGTTTTTTTTGTAAGGATGACTTTAGCTAACATTGGCCCTGGCCTCACAAACCCGTCATGCTGAGAACTTCCACAGACTCTGCACATGGAAGGTTACAAGATCACCCAGGTTTTTAAGTGAGATCTATTTTACCTTGCTGCTGATCTCCCACTCTTCCATGCCCAGAGTGCTGGGATCTAGCTAGCTCCGATTTAGCACCACATGGGAAGGCCAGGGTGGTTACAAATCCCTGAAACCTGCTCACAATCCTGCAGGTTGAGAGCCCCTGGTATAGAATTCCAGACAGGGTGTGGTCCCTGCTGAACAAGGGAAGCAAAGCTGGAAACTGAGCTGGGTTGAAGCCGGTGTGTCAGAGTCTATATTTTATAGCTGTTCTCTAATAAATGTCTACTTTGTAAGACAGACTATGACTTATTCCCTATATCATGACACGGTGTCTGAACTAAACCCATGAGAGGGTTCCAAGTGCGGGGTGGAGTCTCTGATACAGACATGGATAATGGCCATTGTTCTTTCCTGACCTGGGTTAGGTCTCTCCTGTGACCTAAACTCACCTCAGGTCCAATCCAGCAAGGTGCTGGCTGCTTTCCCCACCCATTGCTTTCAGTGGTACCACAGGGTTCTCAGGTACATCCTAACAAGTGTGCAACATCTTGCAGACCGAGGCCCCAGACAGGCAGCTAAGAAAACAAGTTGCAGTGGGGGAGGTTTAGATTGGATATTAGGAAAAACTTTTTCACTAAGAGGGTGGTGAAACACTGGAATGCGTTACCTAGGGAGGTGGTAGAATCTCCTTCCTTAGAGGTTTTTAAGGTCAGGCTTGACAAAGCCCTGGCTGGGATGATTTAACTGGGAATTGGTCCTGCTTCGAGCAGGGGGTAGGACTAGATGACCTTCTGGGGTCCCTTCCAACCCTGATATTCTATGATTCTATGAAAACAAACCCCACAACTAGGACTGGTGGGCAGTTTTTTGGCAGAACATATTTTCAATCCAAAATGGGTTTTGGACAAAAATGAACATTTGTGCGAAAAATATTCATTTCAGACAAAATGTTCCAGTTTTCCTGTGAGAAGTGGAAACCAGAAGCTAAATGCTTTTGGTCTTAAAAAGAAAAGCAGTTTGTTTGAAATATTTTCTTTATTTCATACAAAAAATTCTGGTTTCAAAAATCACAAATTTTTTGACCAAAAACACTTTAAAAAAGATGAACATTTTTCTGCTTCCAGCTTAAGTTTTTCATCCAAAAATCAAATAATTTTAATGGGAAATTCTGATTTGCCCCCCGCCCCCTAGATTTGTAGATTGTAAAGCCAGAAGGGATCACAAGATTAGCCTCCTGTGTAACAGGCCAGAGAATTTCACACACTTATCTTTGCATGGAGCCCAGTAAAGTGTTTGACTGAAGCATCTTCCAGAAAGGCAACTGGGCTGGATTTAAAAGCATTTATTTTTTTCAACCCCCCCCCCCCCAAAAAAAAAAAATTGGTATTTTTTTAATAGCTCATAGACTTTAAGGTCAGAAGGGACCATACCCAGGACTGTCCGTCTCCTTAGCTCTGCCGTTTGGGGTCTGGGGGACTGGGTTTTTAAGGGCTGAGTCTCCGGACAGAGAGTCTGGGCAGGATGCTCCGAAGCTCTTGCTATGCACAGCCAGTGGGAACGGGGCAGAGACTCAAACGGCTCTCTTGCTGCGCCCTTGCTGAGCCCCACCCTGGCCGTTGAGAACCAGGAGCCTTCTCTTCACACTGCTCTCCTTGTGCTGACTTACAGATGCCAAAGGGACCATCCGGGAGATTGTTCTCCCCAAAGGGCTGGATCTGGACCGGCCCAAGAGGACCCGAACCTCTTTCACAGCCGAGCAGCTGTACAGGCTGGAGCTGGAATTTCAGCGGTGTCAATATGTCGTCGGCAGGGAGAGGACGGAGCTAGCAAGGCAGCTCAACCTATCAGAAACACAGGTAAGAAACAAGGGCTCTGGTGGCTATTCCTGTCCACTTTGCATGGGGGCAAGACCCCAGGGGACCACTCAGGATGTCCCTCTGCACCCTGCAGCACAGCTCTCCGGCGGCTCCTAGTGCTGGGGTGTTAGGGCTCCCGCCGATTTGCTCCATGGCCTGGCTGGGTTGGTGTCCAAAAAATTCTTGCCCCACTTTCTGGGGAAGCTCCTCCTAAGAGTCTGAGGTTCCCATTAGGAATGGAACCATTTTGGGAGGAGAAGAAATACTGCTGGGAATCTGACAGGTACCCATCATGCACCTGGGACTGATAAAGCCATTCCCAGAGAAAACCTTGAAGGTAAAGTTAAAAGTCCATACTAGTAACAGAAAAGTAAGACTCATTGTAAGGATGCTATTGTTACCAAACATGCCCATTAACAGGCTAGGAAATTCATAGCTAAGGTTAAACTTACAAGAAACTCAGACTTTTGGAAGTAGGGTAAGTCTCAGCTATGATCCCCAAACAACCTTAACTCTGCCCTGTAAGAGGTGTTACTGCTGCAAGCAAAGACTTTCTCTAAGGACTTTAGAAAGCCTCGAATCTATCGTATGGCTCTGGGCAGCTCATATTTGGAGAGGGCACTGTACCTGTGTAGCTGGCAGGTGATGTACTGAAGGGGAGCTCACCAGAACATTGGTTTTTTGCCTAATTTCCTCTCTGATAGCAAGTGTGATAATTCATCATGGTGCCAAACTTCACCTTTTCCATGTGCATGCTGAGATAAGATGATCTGTGCCTAGGAAGTGAATGTGCGGAGACTCTTTATCTTTCTGTCTAATGGCACTTGGAGAGTTGGCCGACACACAGTCGTAAGGTTTGATCCTGAAAGTTGCTGACTGCCTCACTTAAGTCAGCCTGCAAGACGAGGCCTTACAGGAGCTGAGGGGAATGATTGCCTTCAGCTGGTTGTTTGTGTGATCATGGATTTGTAGGGTAGGTTTGTGTCCTAAGGGGCAAAAAAGAGACCAGAATGAGCACAACCGTGGTAGGGTTAAGGGCAAAATGTTCTAGCTTGCATGGTTGCTGACAAGAGTGTTTGTTGTGGGTGGGAAAGGTACAATTGTAGAACTGACAAAATAATTCTGTCCAGAAAATGGCATTTGTGTCGAAACAGGCTAAACCTGAGGGGAGATGGTGAGCATTTTCCTTGGAATCTTGCAGGGTTTTGGGAAAAAAAATCTGAAAAAAAAGTTACTTTTCCCGGCAACTGACAACCGAAAGGCTGTGATCCGGACCGTCTGTGTGTATGAGGAAGGGCCTGTTTCTCCATGTCTCCAACCCAATGCCATTGAAGATAGTGGAAAGATTCCCATCCACTTTGAGGGGAGTACATGCTGTCGCTGGGTATCTATTAGAGCTGACACACGCTGGGTTTTCCATTTCCTGGGAAATGTTGCATTTTCACATCTTTTTTCCCATTTCGATATGGGCCCAAATGAAAAAATGACATTTCACATGGAACAAAATCCCCCTCCCACCCCAGTTTGTTTTGGGTTCGTGAAAATGTTTCGTTCTGCTAAAATGGCAACATTTTGTTCCAGTTTTGACCTCTTTTGTACGTAAAAAATTGCAAAAAAAGAATTTCTTTCCAAAAAGTCGTTTCAAAAGGAAACCGAACCCGTTCCATTCCGCAGCCGTCGACACGGGCCGTTTCGGCATTATTGGAGCACTGTGTTCTGGCCAGGCGGAAGGCGGTGTCTTGAAACACAATTCAGCTGAAATGGACACACGTTTTGAAAATGTTCAAATGTAGATGGAAACCTCATTTGCCGCTGAATAACCCTTGAGACGAATATTTTCCAACTCGTTCTAGGGTCGGGGCGTCAGTCTCATTCTAAGGAACGAGCTGAAAGCTAGGACTGGGCATAGCCCATAGGCTGGGGGATAAGTTGAGGGTGACATATTCCTCTCAGTGCCCCGAGAAATGCCTGTTGGCATCAGTAGAAGGCTTGTGTCAAGATCAAGGGGCGGACACGGCTTTTATGTAGTAACTAAATGTCTAGTTATTTATTAACTGTTGCGTGCCTCGTTATTGCATTCTTCACTCGGTGAGAAAATCTCCCTGTCTTCAAGCCATGGCTGTCTCTTCCTTCTCTAAACTCTTTCTCTGCATCTCTCCATCGGCTCGGTTTTTGTGAATCCTTTCTGCTCTTTTCGCTGCATTTCCTTCCCTTCGGCCATTCCTAATTCCCAGACCCTTGGGCTTCACTCTCCCATCTAAGCCAAGAAAAATGATCAGTGATTAAATGACAGGTTTCAGAGTAGCAGCCCTGTTAGTCTGTATTCGCAAAAAGAACAGGAGGACTTGTGGCACCTTAGAGACTAACAAATTTATTTCAGCATAAGCTTTCGTGAGCTACAGCTCACTTCATCGGATGCATAAAATGGAAAATACAGTGAGGAGATTTATATACACACAGGCCATGAAATCTGTCTGTATCTGTATGAGTTTTTTCGTGAAGTTGATAGATTTCCACTCCATATGGCTAAATGCAGTGCCTTGCATAATGACAGGTTTCAGAGTAGCAGCCGTGTTAGTCTGTATTCGCAAAAAGAAAAGGAGGACTCGTAGCACCTTAGAGACTAACCAATTTATTTGAGCAGAAGCTTTCGTGAGCTACAGCTCACTTCATCGGATGAATGTTGACACTGAGGCATCATTGCTGGGTTTTAAAGCTGAGACTCCAATCAGATGAATAGGGGACAGTGGTGCTCACCCCTAGGGGCCTCAGCCAAGACCAGACCCCACTCTGCTCTGCACTCCACCAGTGCACAGGAAGAGAGACTCTTTGCCCCCAAAGGGCATAAAATCAGTAGGAGATGGAGAGAAACAGAGGGGAAGTGAGTAGCTGAAGGTCACACAGTAGAACAGCTGTGACTAGAACCCAGGTCACTTGACTACCCTATCCACTAGGCCAAGCTGCCTCTCTAAACGCTTCAGCATATTTCTTTGCTGAGTACTTGTCAGTTTGATCCAGGACCAAATTTCACTAGAGAAAAATGAAATTTACTCACCCTCACACAGGAAATGGTGAAATCCGAACACCAACCCCGGGGGCAAGAAGGGAAGTGTGAATTTATTTTGGTTTCATAGAATCAGAGAATCAGAGAATATCAGGGTTGAAAGGGACCTCAGGAGGTCATCTAGTCCAACCCCCTGCTCAAAGCAGGACCAATCCCCAACTAAATCATCCTGTTTCTCTGTTTCCACTGGAAAATTCACCTGTTCTTTCTGGCAAATAAAACTGCTTCCCTTGCTGTCTGCTCTTTCATGAGCCATTCTGGACGGGGGGCCACAGCTGTCTGGCTATTCTACTAATCCATGGAAATGACTTTTTATTTAAGCCAGGTTTCAGAGTAGCAGCCGTGTTAGTCTGTATTCACAAAAAGAAAAGGAGGACTTGTGGCACCTTAGAGACTCACCAATTTATCATCTGATGAAGTGAGCTGTAGCTCACGAAAGCTTATGCTCAAATAAATTTGTTAGCCTCTAACATGTCACAAGTCCTCCTTCTACTTTAAGCCAGTTTCATCAGCAGTGAGAATTTTTTCATACAGCTCCAGATGCAATAGGCTGGATTTAATCTGTTAGAGCGAGGGCCAGATTCTAAATTACACCTATGTCAATCCCAAGTGACTCGATTGAGTCTCTCCAGATTTACACTAGTGTAAATGAGGATAGAATTTGGCCTTGTATTCCTGGCATCAGAGCAGGACTTTCCTAGGCAACATACTCTCAGAGATTAGGTGCAAATGACCCCTGTTTAGCATCACTGAGAGATGGAAGTGTGATACTAGTGCAAAGACATGGAGGTGGAGATGTCACAGAGGTTTGTTTGAAGGCGGATAATTCCCGCAAATCCTCAGGCAAGAAAGCAGGGGCGTGGTTGGCTCCTGGGGTTCTGTGGCCTGGTCTTTCTAAGTCATGAGTTCAATCAAATCCCAGTCTGGTGCCCGTTGCTGTGTGCTTATTCCCTGCTTGAAATGAGGTGCTGGATCTCAGTCCCGTTCATGCCATGCAGACTCTTAGATCTGTCTGATGCACGGGCTGGCATCCGTTATTAGACACGTCCATCTCAAGCTCTGGGCGTCCAGTCCAAACGCATCACGAACAGTGGTGAGAAGAAATCTTGCCAAGCAGCTGCAGTGGCTCCCACCGTCACCTAGATTCATAGACCCCCCAGGCTGCTGCTATCCTGCAGTCCCATTGGGTGCTTGAGGAGCAGTGCAAATACCTCGTCCCTCCTCTGCAGATTTCTTGGGGTGCATGGGATATCCCCACGGATCTTGGGGTACTCCATCCAGGGGGATGGGTCTGCTCCCCAATCTCGTCCTCCTCAGGGCATGCCCCACCCTGCCTCACCCAGCTGGGATGACATGCTGGAGTGGAAACTCTTGGGAGATTCCTGGCTGCTCTGTGGGGTTTTTTTCATATAGGAGTCAATCCGAACCTTAGAGCCCAAAGAACTGGTGCTCTCATGAGTACTCATGACTCACCTGAGCTGTCCCACATTGGCATGAGCCAGAAGTACTCGCCACGGTAAGGAATAGAGGACGGGGCCCCGGAAAACCTCTATGTGATTCAAAGTGCGCCTGTCAAGGCTGCTAATCCAGAAACAGACGCAAGGGGTCTATTTATAGCACCACAATTAAGACGCTGCCATTAAAAATTAATCTCGCATCTAGTCATTAACAATTAACAATCTCCACCAAGCCAGATGATGAAACGCTGGCCTGCAACCGCGCTCGGTGTCCTCCCGTCGCACAGAGAACCCACGACAATACACACGAGAGCTACAATGTGGAAAGGGCAGCAAAACAACAGGAGAGTATGATTGTCTGGGGTCAGCACAGGAGCCTAAGGAACTGGGTCGGAGGTTTTCAAAGGCACTCAGGGGAGTTAAGTGCCCAACTCCCATTGGCTTACAGTGGGGACTGGGTACCTCATTGCCCCTTGTGT